ATAGGAGTCAGTGGTCAACATGGGATATTAAAGTGATTTCAGAGATGGTGCAATTTATGAGAATAATTATCTCTGGCCTCTGACCATGGGAGCTAATGGATAAGGCAGGGGGTAAGGATGAGAACACCAGGGGAGAGGAGGTCTAGGAACTGAAGTGCCTGAGTGTTGGATGAATTAGAGGACAATGAAAGGACCAAGAACTGTGACAGGAGAGATGATGAGTGAACCAGGTATGTGTGTGCGCCAGGGTGGTGCTGCCTAGGCGGCCAGTCAACCACTGCATCCTCACGGGACCGTGCGGCTCAATGTTCAGGCACATCAGTACGCAGCGCCCAGCAACACAGGGGGCACTCAGATGTCAGCTGTCACATTCCTACTCTTCCTCTTGGGCTACAATACCAGATGCTATCCTGTAAACTTTTAAAGTGCTTTTATTTTTTATTTGATCAAAAACATTTCTAACATGCTTCTAAGAACCATAAGCTAGAACTTAAAGATTTAAATGCTTAAGACCAAGGCAAACTTTTTCTGTAAAGGGCCATAGAGAAACTATTCTAGGCTTTTTGAGCCCTTTGGCCTTGGTCGCAACTGCTCAGCTCTGCCACTGCAGCAGGCAAACAGCCACACGCAGTTCAGAACAAGCAAGCACAGTGCAGAAGTGAAGGGACTGCTACGGAAACAGTGGGCAGTGGAGTTACAGTTTGCTGACCCTTGGCCAAAGACAGTGTTATAAGGAAGTGATGCAGAGTTTCTGTACCTCACGTTACATTCCTAAAGATTTGGTAAGTTTTATTTGGTGATGCCTATTATGGTAAGATTATAATCTTGAACTGTCACTGTGGACACAGGTGACCTTGTGTCTTAACTACTCTTACCAAAGCCATGAAGCTATGGCTATACTTCTGCGTACATAACATAACCAGCATATTCTGTTTATATAAGTCATTTCAAAGAAAAGATCTTAACTAGTTTTCAGATCTAAAGACTGAGTAAACTTCTAAGCAGTTCTAAGAGGCAGTAAACATTTAAAGCTACATGTCTTACTGTGAATGGTAGACGTTAACATACCTTGGTGCTCTCCTGATTTGTCTTTTAATCTCTTACTACTTGTGAATTTCTAGGGATCCAGATTAGATGATCAGAGATGTGCTCCACCACCTGCTGCCACAAAGGGACCAACAGTACCAGATGAGGACTTTCTTAGCCTTATTTTACGGTCTCAAGCGAAAAGAATGGATGAACAGAGAGCTCTTTTACAAAGAGATCAAAACAGAGACACTGAATTTGGGCTCAAGGACCTTTTGCAGAGTAAACCTGTGTTGGAACTTGAAAATTCTGGGAAAAAATAAGCAAACCACTAGTATACTGTTGAATTTTCTTTTTTTTTTTTAACGACCTTATTTCCTTTCAGAACACTCCAGGGAAATTCAATCTAGTACTTTTCTCCTCAAAAGGAGAAGGTATAGCACTGTACTACAGCTTAAAATGTTTTCAGCGTGATGTAAGTATTTGACCTTCGATAGTATAGTGTTTACACTCCTCTGGACACTCACTCGTTTCTGAGTGGAAGTGTCTTGAAAGGTGCTTCATCAACTTTTGTGATTACTGCTTGGGATTATGTTCTTTGACAACTTGTTAAGATTCCTTTACCTACTATTTGTAAAGTAGGAAGTTAAAATGAATCTAGACTAGGAGTTAATCCTCTTGTTGATGTAATTTTTTTACTCTTAATTGATAATGGCAATTTTTTACACCTAACCATGGATGTAGTGAGAAATTACGCTGTTTCATAAAAATAATATACTTGACCAATGTGTAAAAAAATTATATCGTCTGTTAAAGAATTTAGATTTTTTTTCCACTAAGAAAATCTCTATTTTCAATATATTTTTAGGCCAAAGCTATCATAAAAGAACATAAAAGAATTTAAGAATAAACTTCTTTTAGTGTGGTTTGGCCTCTGTGTAATTTTTAAAATAATTTGTGTGTATACATATACATATATAAGTACAGGTATGTATATATGTGCACTTGTGTGTGGGGGTGTGTGTGTGTGTATGTAATGGTTTAAAATTGTATGTTCTGTTGCAAAATAGTACTGTAAAGTTTTTTAGGACCCAATGTTCAAAAAATCCCCAAAACCCTTAAGTGACTATGTCAAAAACCTAGGCCACAAAAAAACAAAAAACCTAGGCCATAAGTATGAAAGATGTAGGGTAAGCCTTCAGCTGTCATTAATGACAAGAGAAGTTTCTTCCTCCTCTTTCCAGAAACTGAAGGTGTTTTACAAGGGGACATAATGTGACATAAGTAAGTTTAGCAAAAGCAAGTCAACAAGGACGGGACTGAGCTGGGTCTGCACTAAGACTGAATTGCATAATACAAATGCCCACACCTGGAACAAGCTGGCAACTCATTCACTTCTGGTTGCTTCTGATTCTGCAAAGCAGCAATGGGATCTAGGCCCCTGTTCATCCTAAAAATCTTTCAGGTGATTTTGATAGGCAATGAGAACCACTTCTCCAAATGGCCAATGTTTTAAAAAATGAGAAGATAGTTACACAATCTGGACTCACATTAAGAGCTCAGGGGGAAAAAAAAGATTATTCTTAGTTCTGAAATCACACAAACTTTGTCAAAAGTACTCAGTTAACACTCAGATTATATTATGTTTTATATATTATATATAGGGTATAATGTCCTGGAATAGCACCCATTTAAAACCAAAACCTGCACTTAAATTTCTTGGGGCTTTTTCTTACAAGCACATTTTTTGAGCAAAGACAGCATACCAAAACACAATAATGTAAAAATAAGTGTTTATTTTGTGTAGATGGTAGCTCTTAGACCCCGTAAACATTCAGTGTTAGCCATTCCACTTAAAAATTGCTTTAAAAGAGCTGTATGCCTCAGTCTGATATTCCTAAAAGCTTGTTACTATAATCCTTGACTTTAATGATAAATGTTGGCTAAACAATAAACAAGCCTATTTCTTTTAGCTATAAACTGACCTTGAATATTCAATTGGCTTTAATAAGTCTTCCCTGAACTCTGTTATCTTTCAACAGCAGTACTGTTGCCTTGCTAGCTGTCAAAGTAGAGTTCATCCCCAAATGGTTATCTGTAATGAAAGAATACAAAGATGAACTTTTACTTAAATTTTCTTTTAAAGATTCATTTTTGGATTGATAAGCAGCAGTAAGAAGTGCAAAGTAACATTAACTCTACCCTCACAGTTACAGTCTAGCAACTGAGGCATCCATTTCACCACTCAGAGGATAACTAGCACCTTGGGAGCACATTCACCAATAGAGTAAACAAACCTGGCCCCCAGACGACTACCTTATATGCATCGATGTTCACAAGTCTATCCCAAAATGCAGACATCCTTACATGCCTGTGTTATAAAGTTTTATATAAATCATATTGCATTTATTGGAAAAAATGACCTTTCTGATAAGATAAATACTAATGATGTTTTGCAGTATTAAGCCAGAAAATAATATTAACACATAAAATTACAGGCATCAAAGTGATGCTTCTGGGAGCCAAGAAGGGGTATTCTGCATTTCATGTAAAAAAACATCGAAAAGCAAATGCTTTAAATCTTTTCTTTTTTTTTTCTTTTTCTTTTTTATTTTATTTTATTTTATTTAAATATTCTTTTTTTTTCCATTTATTTTTATTAGTTGGAGGCTAATTACTTTACATCATTGTAGTGGTTTTTGTCATACATTGAAATGAATTAGCCATGGATTTACATGTATTTTAAATCTTTTCTGAAAGAAATGCCTGCATAAAAATTTTTTTTTTTTTTTTTTTTTGCATGAAAATTTTAAAACTACTTGTGGTGTCATTTTTAGTAAGCAGCTGACTGGAACTTGTAGTGTGAAGGTTAAAACAAAGAATACCCAGATGTGTGTAATTGTGGCTTCCTAGCTAGCTTTTGTGCAAAATTTATAAATTGCTTATTTTTTTTTTTTAAAGTTTAAAATGAAGAATAGTTTGAAAATCAGAATAACTGAAGTGTGGGTTATATCACATGTCTAGGGTTTAAAATCCACTCGTCTTTTATCATGGTATTTATCCTTCTCTTTGTATAGATCTCTAAAATTTAGAACTTCATATGGCTTGGACAACATGGTTTACTCTATAATGTAAGATACAGTAATATCTAATAACCTCAAATCTGGGATTCTGAATAGCAAGGAAAACAGGCCTTATAAAGCCTGTGCACTTATTTGCTGGGGAAATAAAGCCATTCTCAAAGTATGTAAAACTGGGATTAGCAGTTTAACAAGCTATGCAATCTAAATTCCCCTGACAATCTTCAGTTCTGTCCTAGCTATAAGGATAAAGTCAAAGGGGTGATAAAGAAGCAGGCCCAGTAACAGTTGTAAGAGCTGAAAACGCAGGCTGGCCTGTGGGCAGCCTACAGTGGGTTAGACTGACTGGTGACACAGACTCCACGGCTGCACTAAAATGCTAAAGTGCATGACGTGGGTAAACAGGACTACAGTGACTTTCCTTAAATGTTGTTTTTGAGTACCTACCATTTTTAGAAACATTCTGGTTCCGATGCACAACTAACAAATAATTCTATTAACTAAAGTAGGTATCACAGGACTTCCAAAAGGCAAAACACACTTTGGTGAGTTGGTTCCTATATCTGCCTATAAACAACAACTTCTTTTTCAGTGTCCCCTACCTCACATGGTCTTTTTCATGATTCAAAATCATTAATACGTGCCATGTGTTCATCTATGAGATCCTGTTCCAAAATTAACACTTCAAAAACTATGGGATGCATCTTAATATCAAAGAAATGAACAGAGAATACATGCACACTTGTTAATTATGATTGTCAGTAAAAATACTGATGTTTAAAGTTGGCACCTATGTAGTAAATATCAGAATATTTGCAGAAGAAACAGCTGTGAAGAGATTACTTTACAGAACTTGAAGACGACCTCAGAACTGTGGCCCGTATCTGTGTTCCTCTAGCCACACACTTCCACTGTAGTGCTTGCTGGGCCGGATGTGCTGCCTTCCTCTGGGCCACCTGCGGCATCAGTCCTAAGCTGGGCCTTCTCCACTGCAGGGAAACCTTCTACACCCTCTGAGACGTTCTGGCCAGAGACGGGCTTAGCAGACTGGCTGCTTTCAGTACTGCTTTCTCTCGGAGTGCTTTCTCCTGGGATTTCACCAATCTCTTTGGGCTTTGATTCCAAATCAGATGATTTAAGCTACAAAGTAGAAAATTACAGTGTTGTAGTTGTTCAATTAACATAACATGAAGGTTTGTAATATACATGTTCAACAAGTTCCCACAAATCTGTTATAGCAAACATTGAATTCTTTCAAGTCCTCGTCCCAGTGCTGGACTGTAACTACGTTAAGTGTTAAGCTTTACAGGACTGTCCATGGACACAGAAGACAGACTTGTGGACACAATGGGGGAACGAGAGGGGGGGACGAGCTGCGAGAGTAGCACTGAAACACACGCTGCCACGTGTGAGACGGACAGTGGGAAGCTGCTGTGTAACGGGGAGCTCAGCCTGCTGCTCTGTGATGACCTAGCGGGATGGGGTGGTGTGGGAGGAGGGTCAAGAGGGAGGGGGTGTATATACACTTATGGTGATTTACCTCGTTTTAACAGCAGAAGCCAACAACTTTGTAATTATCCTCCAATTAAAAATAAACATTAAAAAAAAGGTCTGTGGAGGAGCGGGACACTCAGGGTATGCTAGGTGGTCTAGTGACCCAGCTTAGGAAGGGTCAGGAAGACTGGTGACCAGTACTGTTAACTCCTCTTGCCTGGGGAGAATAGTTCATTTGACAAACGTTCACGGAGCATACCTTAAGTTCTAGGTCCTAGGGATACAAAAGAGCAAGCAGACAAACTCCCGCCCCCTTCCTTAAACTTACTGGGCAATAAAGTATCATGCTGGGGGTGGGAAGGCTGAATTGCTGTCTAAATTAGCGTGGTCTGAAAAGATGATGAGTAAAGGCTTGAGGAAATGAACCTTACGAATATATGGGAACAGCATTCTAGACAATGAATAGCAAGTACAAAGGCTGAGCTCAAGGAGTAGACAGGAGGCCCTTGTGACTGAAGCAGGATGAGCCTGGAGGGAGCAGTGGGAGGAGAGAGCAGTGGGAGGCCCTAGGCTATTTTGATATCTTTGACTTTCCCTTCAAGTGACCTGGGAACTGGAGGATTTCTGAGATTAAGTGACAGATAACCAGTGGCTCAGATGGTAAAGAATCTGCCTGCAATGCAGGAGACCTGGGTTCGATCTCTGGGTCGGGAAGATACCCTGGAGAAGGTAATGGCAATCCACTCCAGTATTCTTGCCTGGAGAATTCTATGGACAGAGGAGCCTGGTGGGCTACAGCCCATGGGGTTGCAAAGAGGCGGACACGACTGACTAACACTTTTACGTGCACTTTACTAAAGCTGAAAGAAACATCTTAATTTTCTAGACCAATGCAGATATGTTTTATCCTTCTCAGGAGCTCCAAGGGAAGGATTCTACAAGTTCCTATATTCTACTGTGTTCGTTACGGTTTCCCAAAGGTTTACATCTGCAACATAAACTTTGCAAATGACAATACAAACTCTTCTCTCAAACAGAAATGGAAGTGTCCCTTTAAATGGCCAATAATGGTGGAAAAGAGGCCTGACCATTCCCCAGATAAAAAAGTTAGTCTAGCCAGCCAAAAGATTTGGGAAAGCAAGGTTTTTGATCCTTCCCCAGCTCACTCTCCCATCTAGCTAAGGTTTCAGGGCTCTCCTGTGGGCCAGCTCCCTAAGACTCCAGCCTCAGGGGGCAGTTCTCTCTGATCTCTTCAAAGGTAGAAATTTCAGTCATAGCCACTTGTTGGTTTCCTATAAAACGTCACACGAATTGCTATCTGTTCTAACAAATGACCGCTAACTAGTATTTAACATAAAAGTTAAATCTCATTTCTTCTGAGACTGGACTAACTTGACCAGAAAGGGGGAAACAGTGAATAGTTACATCACTGGTGACATAATTAACCAGGAAAGGTAAGAGTAGAACACTTAACCAAAAGCTTAATAGGAAGTACTTAAGCCTAGTATTAAGAGACAGCAAAATAAACAGTTGCTGACTTACACCAGGTACCACCTTGGGATGCTCTCTCACCTCTGCTTCTTGTAAATCAAATGGCCGAAGCACTTCAGGGCTCTTGTTGCCAGTCTGAAATCTCAAGCCAACATCTCTCTCTTTCAAAACATCTCTTCTACCCTCATATGTTTTGTCATTAGGGCCTTGCTCAATGGGGCTAATGTGGCCCCTATAATAGAAATCTGCATCACCTGCTCCACCATGGGGTCTATAATCAATTTCCTGCTTCCGTCTTCTTTCACCTGCCTGAAGGGCCTGGGGTGGTTCTCTTTCAGGACCACCCACATGTCTCAGCATATTAACTGATTTGCCAGCACCATAGCAGAAACTCTAGAAGGAAAAGAAATACATATTCCTGAGTACTTAATGACTGACTGACAATGAAATTTTGAGGTGATTTCCTTGATGCCAAAAAATTATGTAATTTAACTTGTGTTATTTATAGACATAAACATGTTAGTTTCACTGGGTTTTCATTAAAGATCTCTTCTCTAGATTAATATAGAACCAGAGTAGCCCATAACAAAACCTGAGAAATCGTTAAGTATTAAGCAGACATTTCAATTGGCTGGACACATTTTTATTGAATTATATCATAATGGCAGTTAGGCTAAAGCCTAGAAATTTAAAAGGTACTAATTGTCTGATCATTGCTCATATGCTGTCTATATTCATATCCATTATATAAGGTAGGTGCTGAAAATTAAAGTTGCATACCATTATACAAATATTCTCCAGTAGGTTTATTTATTTTACAAACTTGCTTTAGCCACAGCTAAAGTTCAAAAAGTTTTGAGTCACACTCCAAGGAAAAACTAGGCAGCAGTTCTCCAAGTGTGCCCAGGGACCCACTGGAGGTCCCGGACACTTTCACAAATCTGTGAGGTCTAAACTTTCCATAATACAAAGACATAAGCTTTCTGCACTCTCCCCTTGTGAAGCGCACAGTGGAGTCTTATGGGGCTAGAATGACTCCCTCTGATGCCCATGCACTGTGGGCTTGTGCATGCCTGTATTTTTAAAATTTCTGATAAATACCAATAAATAAACCTCCCACAAACAAGTGCTTTTGTGGCATTCAGTTTTTAAGACTAGAGAAGGGTCCTGAGAAAAAAAGTTTGAAAACCACTGCACTAGAGATATGACTCTTTAAAGACGGAATAGCAAAAGGCAGCAGATGAAGCAACAAGCAATAACAGGGTTTTGCTATTAATTTCAGTCTCAGAGACTAAACTACTACTATACAACTAATATCACCTAACAAAACCAGATCCCTGAACCAATGAATCCTAGTCACAAGCCAAACAGCAATACCAAAAGAGTAACAATTTTTAAGTAAACAGAACATAGTAAATGTTACATCCTTAAGGGAACAGAATTCTTTAATAATCTCCCATGGCACATCTAAGTTCTTTGCATTTGTTTTATGGGACAACTGCTTTATTAGGGTAGGGCTGAGAATCAACCCAAAAAAGAGCTGAAGAGACCATGGATGAATGACAGGTAATACTGTAAGACTCCTTAATAAATATCTGTTTCTGGACCCCCTAAATTGCTTCTCAGTACACGCACCTCTTTCTATGTCCTCTGATTCTGTGTTAAACTCAATGTTCTCCGGTTCTCAGTGTGGCAAAAAAGCTCAGACTGAAACAATGCCCATTTTCTCAAAGAGGACATAGGCAACTGATACCACGTGTATTAATTCACAAAGTTTAAAAAACAAATATTAAAAGAGGGTATTATTCTAAATCACCACTTTGACATCTACAATCAAACTTAAGAACCATTTTCTTACTAAGAGGAAGGGACAAATATAAACAAACGTTTATCACTTAAAAATCATCTTTTCATGCCATTAAGCTTGATTTAGCCTGATTTACAACATAAACCTAGTAATCCTAGAATTGCCTTTTTCTGTAATCCCAAATGTTAACAGTGCTATGTACTAACCAGGACAGCTAATGCCATGATTATCAGTACTGGAACGTGTAGTAACACTGGGATCTCCTTCATGAGTGCTTTAATAAATTCACCAGCTCCTTTTCCAATATGCTTCAATGGCTCCGTGACAAAGTTGGTGATTGTAACTGCCAGTGCCTACAACACAAGGTAAAAGCAACTTAATTTTTTCTCTCAAAGGATTGAGGTGCATAGAATAAGTCAAAATTAACCATGCTGAGGCTGAAATGACAAAATTCCACACATTTAAATGTTATCATATACTTTTAATGTGGAAATGACTATGTAATGGAAGTATTTTTCCTAGAACAAAGGTTTATTATTAGCAAAGTGGCAGTTAAAAAGCCAATTTTTAATAAACACAGAGACTTTTTACTCACTTTGTGTAAGTAATTTTCACAAAATATATTCTAACCTTTGTTGGGGGGACCAATAATATAGGGTTGACTAGTAAGAGCTCGTAGTATTTCTGACATGGGTCATCCTTATAGGTCCATGAACTTCTAAGCCATTCTGTTAGAAAACAGACAAGAAACAGAGTCTTTCAAGTTGCATTTCATTCCCAAATAATATTTAGTTTTAACTCTCCCTCCCCCTACAACCCCCCAATCAATTTTAAACTATGTGTACAAACAGACTCCTACTTAGTGATTTTCTAAAATGTCATCTCATGTCCAAAATGTTTATTTTAAAAATCCATTCAGATTATACAAGTCTTATACAGAGAAAATATTTTATGAAGATTTCTAAAAGGTAAATAATTTAAAACAGTCCTTTACACACACCAAGGAATCCAAGAAGAAGCTGGAAAAATCTGAGTAAGATTGTATCAAAGTCAATATCCTGGCTGTGATACTGTACTAGTATAATTATGCAAGATGTTATCAGCGGGGAAAAATGGGTAAAGAGTCTACAGGATCTCTCTGTATTCTTACAACTATCTATGAATCTACAACTATCTCAATAAAATTAAAAAGTCAGTTCTTTAGTTATAAAACAAAGTAGAACATTAGTTCTCTTCTTCTAAATCAGACTCATGTATAATACTTTAACTGGAAAATTCTGAAAGAGATTGCTGGGGGAAGTATCAATAACCTCAGATATGCATATGACACCACACTTATGGCAGAAAGTGAAGAACTAAAGAGCCTCTTGATGAAAGTGAAAGAGGAGAGTGAAAAAGTTGGCTTAAAGCTCAACATTCATAAAACTAAGATCATGGCATCCAGTCCCATCATTTCATGGCAAATAAATGGGGGAACAGTGGAACCAGTGGCTGACTATTTTTCTGGGCTCCAAAATCACTGCAGATGGTGACTGCAGCCATGAAATTAAAAGACACTTACTCCTTGGAAGGAAAGTTATGACCAACCTAGAGAGCATATTGAAAAGCAGAGACATTACTTTGTCAACAAAGGTCCGTCTAGTCAAGACTATGGTTTTTCCAGTGGTCATGTATGGATGTGAGAGTCGGACTATAAAGAAAGCTGAGCACCGAAGAACTAATGCTTTTGAACTGTGGTGTTGGAGAAGACTTTTGAGAGTCCCTTGGACTGCAAGGAGATCCAACCAGTTTATCCTAAGGGAGATCAGTCCTGAGTGTTCACTGGAAGGACTGATGTTGAAGCTGAAACTCCGATACTTTGGCCACCTGATGCAAAGAGCTGACTCAACTGAAAAGACCCTGACGCTGGGAAAGACTGAAGGCGGGAGGCAAAGGGGACGACAGAGGATGAGATGGCTGGATGGCATCACCGACTCAATGGACATGAGTTTGAGTAAACTCTGGGAGCTGGTGATGGAAAGGGAGGCCTGGCATGCTGCAGTCCATGGGGTCGCAAAGAGTCGGACATGACTGAGTGACTGAACTGAACTGAATAATACTTCATGTACTAGTATGAGCTACAGGAGGCACTCAGTTATTCCCTGAGGCCAGAAAGTAAGGCTGGGCTGTTTTAGTTCCCATATCTTTTTAAGAAAATTAATTTTTTGGACACCTTGATTTGCTGCCAAAATTCTATTCTGAGTCAGTCATTGTGCAGACTTTTATTTACAAACAGCATTTGATCATTAAACCACTCCCACTGTCAGGTACATATAACTAAAGGCAGTCAACATTAGTGAGAATGTTTATAAAATCTGAAGGAAAAGAAAAGTAAAATAACTTCCCCTTCGATGAAAAAAAAACACACAGGGAAGCTACAATGTCAGATTTCACAAGTCAATACAGAGATGAAATCAAAGATGGAAACTACACTGGTTGACTCTAATAAACTTCTGCTGAGGACCCAGAACATGCTAGGCACTGTGCTAAGAACTAGATGAACACAAGTGAGTCCAATGCAGGCAGACAGATAATATCAGAGCTGGCACACAGATACTTTCTATCCCTTTCCTGTGACATCACATAAACACAGAAGTCACTGAAGCCCAAGACTCTTCCTGCCTATTCTGATACTAACGATTCAGTCACGGAAAGCCTCCTTCCGGCATTTTATCATTTGTTTGTAATTATTAAAAATGTTTCCTCATTATCAGAAATTCTACTCAAAATAAAGCCAAGAGAACCAATATCTTACCCCAGAGACTTCCACTCCAATTCATCTTCTCAGCACACACATTATTAACTGGCTCCATCTTGGCAACTTCGGCCTGATGCTGGGCAAAAGCAAGCTGACCAACACCAAAGGGAACCATGAAAAGGCTACTAACAATGAAGATTATGCCTACTTACCCTAAAAATCACACTTCAAAGCATGTCTTCACCATTCACCCAAACTAGATTATTTAAAAATTTTTCACAGAAAAAAATACATATGATTTTTAAAGAGTGGCTCTTTTCAACTCATGGCAAAACACATTTAATAGGTAAAGAACTGACTACAATTGCCCTCTTTGTAAAATAACTATGAGGAGGAATTCTAGAAAACCTTTTTACTGAGAAGATTGTTTTAAAAATTAGTTCAAATATAGCTCGTGTCATGCCCCAAAACATAACTATACATATTAAGTGCCTACTCACTCTGGTAAACAATTCATGACAAAATGGTGTTTTGCTTTGAATCATTTTCAGCACAAATGGCCAAGATGTCTTTTCTAAATCAAAGCCCTGGGGGAAATCACAGATAATTTTCAACCAAACTTTCTTCCTCCCTCTAATTGTAAGTGATCAGTTCTAGAAGCGACAGAACTTAGAGAGAAAGGTTAAAGAAGCGCCACAAAGACTTAATCAGATGAGCTCACTGAAAATGGCTGGCTCCTTGACCCATCTCGCTAAAAAGGTCTAAAATTTCTCTTCAATGACTATGCTAGTTTGACAGGAACAATATGTCAACTTGTCAAGAAAAATAATGATTCTTTCAAATTTCAATATATAATGTGGTCCTGATTTTTAAAGAATAAAAATTCGGGAAAAGTTTATAAATACATCACAACATCAACAGTGGTTATCTATAGGTGGTAAAAATTACAGACTTTTTTTTTGGCCACTCCACACAACTTGCAGGCTTCTTAGTTCCCCAAACCTGGATACCTGGCAGTGAGAACACCGAGCCCTAATCACTGGACTGCCAGGAAATTCCCTAGACAATTAAAAAAAATTTAAATTTCTCTGTATTTTTCTACCTTTTCTATATTCTCTGCTATAAATATACCATTCTTATAGTCATAAAAGAATCTAACTTTAGAAAACAGTATTTTGGCATCATTTCCAGCAAAGAATAAAAAAGACACACCCCAAGTTACCAACATGAGAATTTTTCACGTCTCTACATAACTCTCTTCTAATTTAGCTGTACAGATGCCACACATTAGCAGAATGAAAGTCAGGACTGCACATTTCCCTCCACTAACTTGGTCACGGGCTCAGAATACCAGGGACATCTGAGCAGCTGCCAATTTCCTCAGCAACACTCCAATCACTGCCTCACACCCTCACCCGAGGCAAGATGATACACTAGCTCTGAATAGCTTAGTCTTCTATTATGAAATAACACTTTAGAGTTTTAGAAACTTCTACTCATATATTACCTTATATAAATACATCCAATTCCATCCCAAACTGATGAGAAAACTGATGAATAAAACACGTCTCAACTGGGTGTACCAACGAACACAGGTCCAGAGCTCAGTAGCTACTAGCACCACGATGCAGAGCAGACACAGAAGCACCTCGAAACAGAAACACAGAGTCACTGGCAAGCCACCCTCCCCATCAGAAAAGGCTGAGAGCAAAGGAAAAGAGCTGGGCTTGAATATCCAAAATCGTTTGTGCCGCTGTGCTGCATGTTCATCGGCCCAGTGTCAGGACTTGGTGTGAGTTCTCAACATAATGACGGTGAAGTTTCTAAAGTATTTTAAAAAGTAAACTGTTAATCAGGTCCCCCTCAGCCCATCTTACCATCAACACATTATACGGATCCACGCCAAAAAAATCTTCAAACCGCCACTTCCATGTTTCAAAATCATGAAACTTAAAATTAATTAAAATATCACTTAGTGCATCATCCAAGGCACCTGGCTTCCAATCCTCTCCACTGAGAAACTTCTGTATTTCTAACAAGGTTTGTCTTTTAAGGATAATCTCAGCATCGTAATGCATGTCACCTTTGTTTTCATCAAGCTGAATTAAATTTGCCAAAAAAAAAAAAAAAAAACACAGAAAAGGAGAATTTTATCATTATTCAATGAAACATTAAGATAAAACCAACTTGGAACTAAATATATAATTAGTTCATGATATTTCCCAAGTATAAAATAAGAATAAGAATATCTACCTGTCTGTCTCACAGGCCAACATCAAAATTTTCTCATTTAAAATGTTTTTAAAATTATAAAACATTTCAAAATTATAAAACTCTATGCAAGTAGCATACAGTACATTTTACTAAATTACAGTTGATTCCTGCTATCTGTAGTACTTACATTCTATAAAGTCACCTTGAACCAGTTAGCAAATACTGAACCATGGTTCCTAAAGGAAATATGGGCTTAGTTTCCTGCAAGCATATTTTCACCAACCAATCAATTCATAACCTTTTTATGTTAATTTAAAGACACCTAATACATACTGTGGATCCACTAACACTGAGCTCATAGCCAATAGCACTGTGACTCATGACTGACTTAACTCATCTAACAAGGGTATTTTTCTCTAAGGCACATCTCAGCCTCCCTGTGTTTAGGAACAACAGACAGCAAGACACTTGGGAGATTTTTAAACAGCAAAAGTTTAAAAATTAGAAAAGATAAAGAGACCACAAAATAACACGGGAGCTGAAAATAGCCTTGTTTCACCTCAACTGAAAGTCGGCTCATCAGGCAACTCAAATGTTTTGCCAATCTGCACATGTCTAAAAGTGACACAAAAGCAGGAGTACTGATTCTGAGGTTACAAATAAAGTTTAGTATTCAAAATATTAAAAAATATGAATCTATAAATAATGAGGATAAACTATCATTATTTTATGATTCAGTTTATGACTTTCCATTTGCTGACACAGCTTTCAAACAGCCTAAAATTTAGAGTGTACAAATAAGAAAAACAAAAAGGATCTCAAAAAGCAGCAAAATCTGGGTTTCCACGAACATACATGACATTCACAACTATCTTTATTAGTGTGAGTACAGGTTAGCAAAATCTCTATAAACATTAACCAGTTAACATAAGAGAAAATTATCTTTTCTAACAGTAAATACTGATTTTTATATTACAAAGTAGGTATAAAATAAGAAAAACCCAAGTATCATGTAATATTACAAATCATCAGTAAGTATAAAAAAGTAGTCACTGATTAAATATTTCTAAAAAACTAAAAACTATTCCAAGCTTCTCCATCTTGAGTATTTTCTAGCCACACTTGTTTCCTCATCTATAAAATAGACTTTTTTCCACCTTGCACTCACTGTAAGACTCTAACTGAAGGGTATACATATGATTACATCTGCTTTTACAGCTCCAAAATAAGGTGGGATTATTATTCATTTAACACTCCCTTTTTTAAAGTTTTCTAGGTGTTTTGGCTCCCTGAAGGGAAAACAATGACTCAAAAAAATGGAATCTTAACATTAATCATGAACAATATGTCCATGACATATAATCCTATAAAGCAGCCGTTGCCACAATAAATAGCTAGGGGAAAAATCTTAAAACCCACTTTTCTTTTTCTCAATACATAATGATATTACATCATTTGAATAAGAAAGTGTGGAAATGATAGAAAAGAAGTAAGGACTGGAATAGAATTTCCTTACCAAGTCATAAGTTTAAGTTTGCAACTGATCAGCAAAGTTCAAATAGCAAATTTAAAACAATATCCCTCTCCCCCCAACTCAATTAGGTGGTACAGCAGTGCATAGAGTAAGTAAATCCCCATGAACTATAAGAAAAAGAGGAAGGGTCAGCACTGCTCACTTGCCTTCCACCAAACCAGCAGGCTGCTATCTTCAATCCTGCATGATTAGGTTCTGGTAAAAGCGCGAGTCAGGTATTCTCTGTTGAAGCATAATGATGCTTTATCACTGTGAAATTAATACATAACAAAAATATCCACTACACTAATTAGTATCACATCAAATACTCACAAGTCCAAGCTTTTTGGTTTCAATCAAAATCTTATTTAAGTATCTCCTAAAAACTGGATTGCTTTGACTTTCATAGTCTTCTCTCTTTTGCTTTTCACATTCGTCAATCTGCAACCACAAAACAAATATATTAGTTAGTGTCAGAGTTTAATGTAAGGGTCAAGTTTCTAGCCTAGTGGCCCCATCGAGGTCAAAGCAAGGAGCTGGTTCTTTTCATCAAGCCTGCATTAAAATGCAGATCTGGCCTGCTTTCGGTGGGTTCTCTTTGCAAAAAGTAGGCAACAGAAGAGCACCAGGAGTCCCATACTGCACCAAATGGCAGTTTTCCTGCTGACTTTCAGCAGTTTTAAAGCTGAAGATCATGAAACAAGGAAGCAGAGATGTGGATAAGCAGAACCAATCTGCCCCTTCCTAATTCCAAAGTAATGATTTAAAGAAAGAAAGGAAAAAGGGAGAAAAAAACAGACAGAACAGCCAAATAGAAACAGAGACAACATGAAGCTAGAAGATGAAGGACACAACAAAGATTTTCTTGAATGTGTGTATTACTTTTTGGCCTTTTATTGATTTTTCCTGCCAACTATCAATCATGCCCTACCAAACGGCAGGAATATTTTGGCCACCTGAGGCGAAGAACTGACTCCTTGGAAAAGACACTGATGCTGAGAAAGACTGAAGGCAGGAGAAGCAGCAGATGACAGAGGATGAGATGGTTCGATGGCATCATCGACTCAAAGGACATGAGTTTGAGCAATGAGTTCGTGATAGACAGGGAAGCCTGGTGTACTATAGTCCATGGGGTCGCAGAGTTGGACACGACTGAGCGACTGAACTGAAGGCCTCTCCAGATGTCCACACACAGCAGCCCGTCTGCACAGAATCCTTCATTAGGACAGACTTCCTCTGAACTCAAGTCTATAATCACCGCTAGTTTCTGAGTGAGGGTAGTGCATGTCGTAAGACATTTAGAACCTGAGATAAGCAACTTCCACTTATTACTTGAGTGTTAACCACAAGCTGAGTGGAGCACTGGAATGGGCTTCAGATGATAAACACAGACAGCAGCACACACAGACTCAGGACAGAAAGACACTCAAGAAGTCACAGGGCATTCCTCGGCTTTCAGGCAAGGTTTACAAACCTTAAAATTTTTTAATTTCTTTTTAAGAGTAAAAAAAAATTTTTTTAAACAAAGACTAAAGACTTCATTTTACTAATCATGTTTTTACAATGTCAGACCCAAAGTCACAAACAATGGAATGAAAAATTTCAGTAAAAGGGCATTTTTCCATTTCCTACCATGCAGCCAAATTAGCTCTCCACACCACAAAACGCAGTTAAGACTGAAGCAAATTTTATCCAAGCATTTCTCTGCTAGTGCTCAGATGAGGCAACATTCACATTTGGTAAGAACCGCAAGCAGCTGCTTATAGACCTCACTGGGATACATCTGGATCTCAATTAGCAAGCTCTCCCAGCCTCTCAAGCTGGAACCCTCTCCCATTCACTCTAGCTCTTCCCTATCCTCAACCACCACAACTTGCCTACTCTACCAGAGGAAAGTTGAACACTTTTCTCTTCACCCCGTCACAGCCTCAGCGTGAGCCTTCAGCGCTGCTGCACCTCTGCCATCCCCCCATCCCAGCCTCCTCCAGGCCGCCGCCAGCACCCTGCCTCAAAACCAACAGAGGTGGGTTCTTGCAGCATAACCTGTGCTCAAACCAACCAACAGTCTTGACTTACTTCCCTTCTCAAACTACTGCAGCCACAGAAATAAAAGGACTGAATAAATGAAGTAAGAGTTACCACACATCAGATTATAATAATCCCTTATATTTGTAGAAACAACTGTTATGCTTATAAGCTAGCAGTAGAGACATTTCTTCATTTGCTATACTTGTCATGAGTTACTACAGTCCAGCACTGTGACAGGTGATAGAGCATCAAGAATGAATAAAATATTCTTTGTCCCAAGAAACATTCAGCCTGGTAAAGAAATAATTACAACATAGTGAGATAAATGTTATTACAGGAAAATAAAACTACTATTTTTAAAAATTCAAGGCCAGAGTAAAGAGAAACCAAGGCTAGGGTAATTAAAGAAAAAAAAATCATTTATATATTTGTAAATCGTACTTTAGATAGAAACACAAGTAATGTTAGTAAAGATAGAAAACACAGAACAATTTAACATACCATAAGTAATACAAAAATCATGAATAAAAAAATCCTAACCTTATAAGTTAAAGAATCAAGTCTGTTGTAACATTCTGACAATTCATCAGCATATGATAAGTCAGGACTGACCTCTTCTTTCTCTGACATACCATATTTCCCCTAAAGCAAAGCAGAGAGAGGTTTTATTTCTTTATAGTTCAGTTGTAAAAATAATCTACAGTTAAAAAAAATAATGTTCCATCATTTTATGGTTTTGCTTGTTATATTCCTCAACTGTATTAAACCACCAAAAAAGTAACAGCCTCAAATTTATATACTAGCTAAGAACTAAAATCAAATGGGTTTGCTTCTTGATCAGCTTTACATTCAAATTTGAAACAGAAATAAACAGGTGGAGTTGAAATCATCTTAGGCTAAGAGACAGGAAGATATTCTGCATGGTCATTAATCACTGACACAGGACTCTTTCACAGCTCTGTGAAAAACAATAACAAATGTAGACTACTTCCATCACAGGACTGGTAAGGTATTATACGCACATGGGTTTTTGTAAATACCTGAGATTTTCTCATTCTTCCTGAAGCAGCATCATAGTTAAGCATGTCTGTAGGATCAATCCAGTCATCATCATGAGCATAAGCAGTTATCAGCCACAGACATTCACAGAGGAGCAGAGAACACAGCATTGTGTGTGAACGCTACAAAAATTAGCACATATATTGAAGTATATGATAACTTTTAATAAAAACAACCTACTTATAGTGTTAAGATAATGCTTTCTTAATAACTGAAATAAAAATACTTAGTAAAATGGTATTTGCATATAAACACATACATACATGCACACATAGTCTCAGTGAGACTATATATATATTTTTTTCTAAATGATTCAGCAATTCCATTCCTAGGTATATACCCAAGAGAAGTGAAAATATATGTCAATACAAAAACCTGGACACCAACATTTACAGCTGCATTATTCACAACAGGCCAAACAGAGAAACCACCCAAATGTCCATAAGCTAATGACCATCACACAGTGGAATATTATTAGGCCATAAAAAGGAATGAAGTATTGATCCATGCTACAACATGGGTGAGTCTTGAAAACCTGGTTGTTTAGTCGCTAAGTCATATCCAACTCTTTGTGACCCTATGGACTGTAGCCGGCCAAGCTCCACTGAGGATATGGAGTGGGTTGTTCTTTCCTTCTCCAAGGAATCTTACCCACCCAGAGATCCAACCCCGCACCTCCTGAATTAGCAGGTGGGTTCTTTACTGCTGAGTCCCCATCATGCCATGTGAAAAAAGCCAGTCACCAGAAACCATGTATTATGATTCCATTGATATGAACTGTCCAGAATAGGAAAGTCTATGGAGAATGGTAGGTATACAGACCTGAGGATACAAGAGACAGAAGGGTGGTAGTTAAATGGTACAGAGTTTTTTTTCATTGAAGTGTAGTTGATTTACAATGTTGTTAGCTTCTGCTGTGTAGCAAAGTGGTTCAGTTACACATACGTACACATCCCGTTTTATATTCTTTTCCATATGGTTTATCACAGGATACTGAACATAGTTCCCTGTGCTATACAGTAGAACCTTGTTATTTATCCATTCTATATATTAATATAATAGTTTGCCTCTGCTCACCCCGAACTCCCAACCCATCCCTCCCCCAACTCCTCCCCCCCCCCCCCCCCGCCCCACCTTGGCAACCACAAGTCTGCCCTCTGTATCTGTGAGTTGTTACAGGGTTTCCTTTTGAGGTGATGAAAAGTGATCTAAAATTAACTGTGGAAATGGTTGTACATTATCTGTGAATATCCCAAAAAACTGAACTGTACAATTTAAATGGATGAATTGTACAGTATGTGAATCATTTCTCAGTAAAGCTGTGCAAAAAGGGAAACTTAAAAGGTGCAAAATTAAGATTTAAATGAGGTGACTAAACTCTCAATCAGAGAAAACAGCTTGCTTCATCTAAGGCTCTGCATAAACACTGTCAAATTGTTTCAACACACTATCTCCTCTATCCAACATTGTCCAATACAGCAGCCATTAGCCACACGTGGCTATTTAAATTAAAATTACAGTGCAAATTATTTCCTTAATCTCACTAGCTGCATTTCAAGTGCTCAATTGCCACATGTGGCTAGTGGCTTTCAAACTGGACAGAGTGGCTTCCAAAATGGACAGTGCAGATACAGAACATTACCATCACTGCAGAATGTTCTGTCAAACAACCTCTGTGAATAAGGATCAGGTAAGGGAGTTCCAAGATGAGAATGCCCTGGGCCCTGCCCAGTAATGGCTTACAGTGTGGCTGTAGGAATAAAAGTAACTTCAGGCTGAAGCAAACACTTCTTTGCGTTCTGGGTGTGCTGTTTCTTCTCCTAGCATAACACACGCTGAAATTAACCACTTACTGGTCAGTCTCGTCCCTTGCCACAAAGGCTCTCAATCCTGCATTAGAATCACCTGGGAAGCTTCTAAATTTTCCAATCTTATGGCCACCTCCCAAGTCAATTTAATCAGAATCTCTAGGTGAGGAACCACTGTCAACTCCACACACACACTTGCCAAGAGCACTTGCCAGCGACTGAGAAACAAGGTGGCCGCCATCTGCCTCTGCAAAGGCGGACCCCTGCCGCTGCAGCTGCAGGCAGTCACCCCCCGAGGGGACTCAGGGCGGGGAATGGGGCGCTCTGAGCTCCAGGGAAGCCGGCAGAAGAGCTCTTTAGACAGATATTTTGGGGAACTGTTCTCATGATCCCAATCCTTGCATCTCCTCATATCTAGAAAAGCACTAAATCCCTTCATGGTGACATCAGCTCCTTGTGACTAGCAGAAAACCATTTGTAAAGTAAGCACCTGAATGCACTGAACTCCCCCTTCATCAAAATCATATATTTACCTTCCCCTGGGCGCTTTCCTGGTGCCTCAGATGGTAAAGAATCTGCCCGCAATGCAGGAGACCCAGGTTCGATCCCTGGGTTGGGAAGATCCCCTGGAGAAGGGAATGGCAACCCACTCCAGTATTCCTGCCTGGAGAATCCCATGGACAGAGGAGCCTGGAGGGCCTCTTTGGCGCAGTCTCTCAGAGCTACCTGAGGTGGTGTCTCCTGGCTGCAGTTCTCATTTTGTCCTGAATAAAACTTAACTCGCAACTCTCACGTTGTGCATTTTTTAGTCAAAACCAGGTGAAGGGATTTTCAAAGCTCCCCTGCTGGTTCTGTCACACAATGAAGGTAGAAAACCACAGCGCTATAATGTGAACTTCTCCAGAGAAGGTTAACTCCTTACTCAAGTCTGAATTCACCTTCCTAATGCCCTCTCCGGAGAAGGCAATGGCACCCCACTCCAGTACTCTTACCTGGAAAATCCCATGGATGGAGGAGTCTGGTGGGCTGCAGTCCACGGGGTCGCTAAGAGTCGGACACGACTGAGCGATTTCACTTTCATTTTTCACTTTCATGCATTGGAGAAGGAAATGGCAACCCACTCCAGTGTTCTTGCCTGGAGAATCCCAGGGACGGGGGAGCCTGGTGGGCTGCCATCTAGGGGGTCGCACAGAGTCGGACACGACTGAAGGGACTTAGCAGAAGCAATGCCCTCTCCTCCATCGTGCCCCACCACTCTCCAAACCTAACACCCTGCCCAGTGGCCAGCAAGTGAAAGACACTCAGTAATATAAGCAGCAAGTGCAAACAATCAAGACCTCAGCAGGGATTCAAAGAGCTTCAAGGGCTGAAAGGATGAAACAGCACATCTGACTGGGAGCTACTGGGAAGATTTCATGGAGGAATGGGTATGGGAAATAGACTTTGAAGCATGGGCAACAGTCTAAGAGTGCGAGACATGGGAGGCAGAAAGCAACATGTTCGTCTCAGAACCTGGAAACACGAGGATGCACACAGTGGAACGCAGAGCTGGAGAGGTGGGCTGCGACAACTCTGCCAAAGTAAAAAGCTTGTAACTAACTTTACCTGCTAACAATAGTTTTCAAGGGGGATGGGAACTATATTTGGGGAAGATGAAACCAGACAGTTCAAAAGGAGGCTGAAGTAGAAAAGGATGTTGATCTGAAAGAGTGGTGGCAATGAGACCAGAAAGAACCCACCGGACACATTTTAAAGATTAATTCTACAGACCCTGGCAGCTGAATGCACATAGAAGGAAAAAAGGAGAACAATGACAGACAGGACTCTAAGATTTCAAGGCCCACCATCAACAAAAACGGTGATACCATTAACTTAAAGAAACTGAGAATAAGAATATGGCCTGGGGAAAAGTTCAGCACTCCTTTGTTCAACATTTACAAAATACCTGCTGGATTCTGTGCACTGTCGTGATGGGGCTAATAGGAAACTAGACCAGTCAGGTCGTCTTTAAGAAACTTACATTCTAGTGGGGGATGACAATAAATGGACAAAAAGGTAATTTCAGATAGTGATAAGTCCTATAAGGAAAACAACACAAGACAAAGGTGTAGATGGCCTGGCCCACCCCATACCAGGATCAGCTGCCTCTACTTTACTACTTTGGAGCATTTGCTTTTGAGGACCCTCCCATGGAACTCAGCCACCACGCTGGGAAAAGGTTAAGTCACCAGGAGACCCCACGTGTAGGGGCACACTGATCTCCCAATTGGCAGCCAACGTCAACCACCAGTCATGTAGGTGAGTCCTCTTGGTGGATCCAGTCCAATCCCTTGGTAACTGACTTGGTGATCTGCCACCATCATGTGGGAAAAAATGACTACCCAGTTGAGTCCAATAGAGGCCCAAAAGCCACAGTATCATGAGATGAGAAAATGGTTGTTTAAAGCCTCTAAACTTTGGGGTGGTTTGTTACACAGTGGTACATAATCACAATATTAGGCAGAAAAATAATAAACTAACTGTAGAAAAATTTGGGAAAAGAAAATTCAGAGAGAGAAGACAGCAAGCATAAAGGCCCAGGTAGGGATTATGTTTGAAGCATTCAAAGAATGGGCAAGAAGGCTAGATGAACTGTTTTTTTACACCATGAGGTTGTGCTATCCACATTAACACAGAAGTGCACTGCAGAAATTGCTGGTAAATTCGATGAGAAAAGATTCAGGATGATGTCAAGGTTTGTGAACTATGTTTTGTGAATGAGCTGGAGGGGAGAAGGGGAATAAGCCATAGTAACGAGTATGGTTTTTACTTAGGTGTAACAAGAAGTCAGCCACTAGAGAGTTTTAAGCACAGAAATGATAGAATCAGGATTACATTCTAAAACCACTGGGGCTGCTATGTGGAAGCTGAAACAGAAGGGCAAAAGCAGGAAACTAGAAAGAAGACACTTGGCAAAGCCCAGGTAACAGGTCACCAGGCACATTACTTCTGCTTTCTAAATACATGGTAACAAGTGGTATCTTCTAGTTAACTATGTGACAATTAAGTCCTGGTCAGCACAACAGCAGTGGAAGAAATACGCACCACAACCATGAAAGCCTCCCTGCTTCAACTTCCATCAGCTGCACCCCCACACCCCCCACCAGGGAATGGGGAGGACGCTGAGCCCTAGAGTGGGGGAGCCTGACTATGGAAGGAGCTGGGATCCTAAACAACCACATGCAAGGCCACCTATTTAGTGGGAACATGTTTTTTGACTTTTATGTGAATGAAAATTAATTTATTTTAGGGTAAGTCCTAAG